TGGGGAAGGAAAACGTCTGGTATTTTTCCTTTTTTTATTACAAGTGCTGAATAGATCAGTTGATATATTACATATATGATGTTAGTTTTCAGCTGCACTGTGATGACACAAATATTGCATTAAAGCCACACGGACGACAGCGGTGTGGACATAATTGTGGCGTATAGAATTTTAATATTTTAGAAGTTGGTGCGCATCTGTTAATACCATTAGTCCATACTATTATTACGAGAATAACCGGACTATCGGTTATTTAGGCCCGGTTGTGCAAGGACGAGTTCTAAGTATGGTTACCAATAATCTACTTCAAGAAGTCTAATGGCTCAAGGAAAGTGGGTAACGACGATGACGATAGGCCAGATCTATCACGCTTCTACATTCGACCCTGACCACGAATCATCGAACGAAGCTGTCATGATGATCGAAAGATGCAGTTGGCAAGCGAGATGCAGAAGGGTTTGTCACAGAAGAGTTGAATACAAAAGTAATTCTCTGAAGAACCCGCATTACAAATTGATTTAAAATCTTTTCTTATTTCAGGCTCTAAAATAAGTTGATAATAAACTAGAGGAATAGTTCATTCGTGTGCATCTGAATAACTTTCTGCACTCATCTAAGAGAATAAATAAACTCATTTCCGAGGAAATACCCATCCTAATGGTAAGCACACAATGTATATTATCACTAACCGCGCCTTTTTTTATTTTGCGTAGATTTATTCGGTTAACTTAGACAATTCTTGATTATTCGGCTGTGAGAACCTTAAGGAAACTAGAAGCAACAAATGTCCATTAACTATCATTCGACTGATAACAAAACAGGAGCCAACACAAGAAAAACTTACTCTTTCGATGCACTAGTAGTCTTCTTCGTTACTTTCTTCTTCTTTTTAATCTTCCCGGCTTTACGCCTCTCAGCGGTCAGAATCTCAGCTCGACGCAACACTTTCGCATAGGGATTAAGACGGATAAGAACGCCCACATTTCGAAGAGGGTTTTTCTTTTGTGTAAAAGGTCGTTTTTGATGTTTCTCGCCAGCAGGTCGGAGTACAGACTGGATCTCCTTGCTGTTTATGATTGAGGTTACATCTGAATTGGTGATAATATTTGAGGGGAGACTAAATCGAAAGTTAAATCAGTTAGAATGTGTACACGTCTACTTAATCACTGTAGCTAGTAAAAGCTTCATTGAGGTATTACAACTTACTAATAATCCTTCTTCAGAGAAGCACCTTTCGTATAAGTTCCAAATAACTCATCCAATAGCGCAAAAGCAGAAGAAGACCAAATAACAAATCGTCCCAAATGCCCACCGGGTGCCAGTTGTAACAAATTTAAATGCCTCACATTAACCAGTTCAACACCAGGAATATTCCTAAATGCTTTTACAATGCCGTTATCTTGATTGTAAACAATCAAAGGCCCCCGTCGCTGACGATGTCGTCTGTTACGCATCTTTCCTTTGCCGGCTCGTAACTTTCGCGAGTTTGATACTTTTACGATATCACGATAAGCGTGGATAGCTTTAAGAACGGCAACAGCGGCTTTGGTCTTTGCCAATGATTCGATACCATCACCAACCACCAAAGGAATTTCAGGAACGCTTGCGATTCTGTGTCCGCGCGCAAGGACCAAAGCTGGGGCAGCGGAAGCAGCAAGAGCAGAGACGGTCGCAAAGCGTTTTTGGTTAAGGTTGGTTTTCACATGCCATTTACGCCAAATTTTTGTTGGAGCAAACATGCGGCCACCACGACACATGTTACCAAAGGCACCCTATGAATACAGCGTTTGGTAACAGGTCGATTAAGTAGTGAACGGTGAAGAGATGGTTCTGCGATATGCGACAATTGGTGCTACACTTTTATTTGATCTGTAGCATAATAAAGTTGTCAAAAAGCTTACCTGCCCAGCGCGATGAGTACCACCGCCAGAAACGCGCGGAATACGAGCAACAGCACGTCCTGTTCCCCAAGATTCGGCAGATGTCTGATGGCCTGCTTTTGCGGATACTGCATATGGCTGACGATTGCTCTT